AGAGAGATTGATTTTATCCCCAAGGTTCAGATCCGCCCTTGGATCTGTAAGATACCCTTCCAATAAATTCCCTCCATGTGTCCTTGGATTCCTATTCTTTGTAGCTAAGGGTAGACCAAACATTTAAGTTCTCCCAAATTCAAGAAAGGGTTTCCTTTTCTTCTTACGCTTATAGTGGTTTGATGTGATATTGTTTTCCCAGTGAGAAATAATCTCAGTAACAAGTTCTTTTTTCAGTAAGCATTTATTTATTAATCTCTACTCACTGTTAAAGCCTGTGTTCCTGAAGAGTTCGTAGCCATGGAAAATACAACAAATAAATCAATCACAAAAATCGTGATAAATATAATGTCTGGGAGAAACACAGACCATCATGGGAAGAACAAAATGGGATCAAAATCTGACTGCAACCATGATCAAGAAACCTTAGCACTCTTTCACATCTTGGATATATGCCTTGTTGGCTGACATTGAACGGAGGAAATTACACAGAGGAGCATTATGAACAATTTTTAAATTGTGGGTCTAATTTGAAAGATTTTTAAATAATCCACCTAGTTTTCCCCATGACTCTGTCTTCAAATGGGTCTACCATTTCACTGTCTCCAGAAGGAAGCCTGAGGGTCTTCTCAGCACGGCTCTGTAACTTTATGGCACCTACACATCTTCACAATATTTTCTCTCCTTAAGCCACTTACTCTCTCTCAGAAAGAACATTCTCTTGGGCAGATAGCTATCACTGTAGTGAGCAAGGGTAATTAAACAACTCAGTGGACCTTCATCTGGCTGTGATGTGAGTGAGCCTCAGATCACCAACTCTTGATTTTTGCACCTTCTGTATGACCGACCTGCGGTGGTCTTCTACTATATGATGTCTGGAATCTCCTATCACTCAGCCCCAGGGAAGCCTCAAGAGTGGAACACCTTGTGTGTCTGTCGTTGCTTCTCATAGTCACTGCCTTCAGAAGCAGAACATCACTCCTAGATCCTGACTTTCTTGACTTCTCCAGGAGGTGGTCAGGCAAGCAGGCACTGAATATATTGACCACCAGATCATGTTTCCTGTGCAAAATTGGTTCCCATTTTCATTTGCTTCAGAGTTGACCCCAGCTACAGAGAACTGAGATAGCAGAATGCATTCCCACACTGCCTCTGAAGGCCTGGTAACAATAACAGGCAACAGAAACCTTGGGCATCAAGGAACCTTAGAAAAGGGAAACATTTGAGCCACAACTAAGTTTTCTAGTATCATCTTTTTGACTGGAAAAAAGGGAGCAGATTTAGTAATGTGGCTGGAGAGAGAAACTTGGTCTTGATTTTGATTCTTTTCTCCTGGAGCACCTGGAGTTTCGGTGGGGGTGGGGATGAGGCAGTGGATGAGCCTTTCCCTAATATTCAGAAAACGCTTCCCAGGCAGGAGATGGGCTTTGCCAGTGTCTCTTGGCAGGAGCCAAATACCGCAAACTTAATAATCCTCAGTCAATGGAATTCTTTTTCTCATCTTCCCAGTGTATGATTTGGGGAACACCGTTCTAGTGAGGATACTTCATGACAAGGAACAGGAAGTAGCTGGAGGGCTACTGGACCTCTTGTGAGCAGAAGTTGGGAACTGGAGAACAGAGCTGATTCGTTCACTTCTGCCTCTCAGGACACCTCAGTCTTTAGGCTTGGTTGCCTTTCCTCAGTGTGGTGGCCTTCCATTGAAGCTGCTTCAGCCTTCAGATGCCTCTGACACAGTTCCAGCAGTCTAGGGGTCCACAGACCTTTCTTCCTTAGCACCCGGTTCCTCCAGATGCTATTTAAATAACTCAGTCCAATCCCAGAGGGAGAAAATATGGCAGCTGCAACTCAACTGTCCATGTTGGGTCCTGCACATGATGAAGTTCTGGTCTCAAGAGGATTGTGAGTTCTAGAACCTTGAGTTCTCCCTGTTCAGGCAACTGTGATGTGGAAAGATACGACAGTACATCTTACAGCTTCTCTCAGCAGAGGACCACACCTTCCAAGCACCTTGAACAGTAGAACATCTTTCCATAAGGACCCAGTACTTCCACCCAGATGATTCAGACTCTGAATTCACATTTCACGGGAGGAGCCTTACTCAAATTAGTTTGTGTAGTACATTCTATTTGGAAGTATTTTGTCAGTCCTCAGTCAGTCACTGGGACCTTAGTATGGTAAGGATGCTAGGTTTTGAGGCTACAAAGACTACTTTCACTGAGAGAAGAAAGAAATGACTTTAAATGAGTTCTTATAAACAAAAAATGCCAGAATAAAGAGGATTACAAAAGAATATGTCAGGGCTTGTGTGGAAGATGAATATTGCATATTAAACGGTTCTCAGTCAACAGCGATCTTTCTCAAATTCCTCCCAGCTTGAACTGAGAAGCTCAAGGCTTACCTACTGAACCGCCATCTTGGACAAGGAAGGCAGGGTCCTACCTCTACAGAAGAAAAAGTGGAACCAGATTTAACTTGGTATCTGCTCTCAAAGGAGAATTGGGGCTGAGGAGATGGCTTAGCAGGTAAGAGTGCCTGCTACACAAGCATGAGATCAAATTCCCAAAACCTACATAAAAGCCATGGTTGTGTATGCTTGTAACCCCAGTGCTGGGGGTGTGGGGCAGAGACAGGAGGATCACTGGGGCTCACTGGCTGGCAACCTAGCTCTGGGTTCAGTAAGAGACCTTGTCTCAAGGAAGTAAGGCAGAGAGTGATGGAGCAGGACCATATCCTCCTCTGGCCTCACATGCACATAGGTGAACACACCTGCAAACGCAAACACACAACACAACACATCATGCTTGAACTGAACAAGGGACATTTCTACTGCTATACAGACAGCCCATAGTGAAAATGGAAGAGTTACAAAGCCAGAAAGGGTCAAGTGGGAAGCTGTGTGATTACGATGGGCATCAGGTCCGTAATGACAATCATAAAGGCCTGGGATAATTCACCTGTTTGTTTTCAGTTTAGATGAGGGATGTTCAATTGTAACGGCTTGGCACTAGAGGAACTGCCATTCAGAGCTGGCGCTGCTCCTCTGGAGTCCTTCTGACTGTGGTGCCAGGCATCAATCCTTTAGTTGTATCATTATAGGAAAATGGGGCCATGGACCAATCATAGCTGTACCTTCGATTTTAACACTTGAACTAACACCACAGTACTTATGGCCTGAGTCCCCCTGGAGAATTTAACTACACCACACTGAACATGCAGGTCTAGTTTCTGCTGTGGAGGAGACTGAATGCCATTCTAAGAAAGATGTTCTTTAATGAAGACAATTGTGGAGTTCCTGTCCCAAGAGCATGAGTCAATAAGCCACCTTTAAGCAAAAGCAGCCAGCACAGCCAGCGGAACTCCAAAGAAATTAGCAATGCCTTTCATGGGATGTTGAAAAGAAACATGATATCTGCCCTCCAGGAGTCAGGAAAGAATTTAGGGGGCTGGAGAGATGGCCCACTGGTTAAGAGCAGTCGATGTTCTTGCACAGGACCCTGGTTTGATTCCCAGGACCCACATGATTGCTAACAACTGTTAGTGACTCCAATTTCAGGGGATCCGACGCCCTCTTCTGACCTCTGCGGGCATTGCATGGCACGGGCATACTTGTACACATGCAGGCAATACACTCATGCCCATAAAATAAAAATAATAATAAAAAAGAATTTAGAAGTGTCATAACCCTAAAGAACATGGAACTATAAAGCCAGGGGGTCCTTGGTTAGATGAACGCTGAGCTCTCAGCGAAGGAAAGTGACTTGGCCAAGTTCATGCAGCCCACTGCAAAGCCAAGCTCCACTTCCCTGCTTCCTGGTGGTGGCTGCAGAAGAGGAAAATACCTTGCCAATCAGAGACCAAGATGGCAGTGGAGTGCACGGGGGAGAGGGGGGAAGGGGAAATGCAGTAGCCTCAGGTTGTGTGTTTTAATATTTTATTTAAAAAACTTAAGGGGCTTTAGTTTATGAAGACTTTTTCTGGCCTTGCTTGGGGTGGATGTGCGCTGTGAAGGGGAAGGCGCGCCCCTGTGGCTTCTGAGGCGCATCTTCCAGAGCGGAAGGGAGGGATCAGGCACCTCCTCCCAGCCGCCCCCACAGGCACAGAGCTGCCCCAAGGCTCTCTGAGCTTGCCAGGCTCCAGGGCTCGGTGGGACGCGTTCCCCGCCGGGGCAGTTGGGGACGCCGGCGGGTTCCCCCAGCATCCAGGCAGGGCGCAGCGCGGATCCTCCCCTGCCCTTCGGTCTCTGCAGCAGGGCTGGCAGCGCCGCTCGCTCTCCGCTCGCAGGGCGCTGGGCAGAGTCCCGCGCTGGGCGGAACAAGGGTACCCGCAGCCCCCTCGGCGGGTCCAGGTCCAGCAGCCGCGGAGTCCGGGCCGCTGCGGCGGGGTGGGCATCCTTCTCTGCGCGCACACCCGGCGCGATCTCAGGGGGCCGAGTGGCCTCAGACCTCTGCAGCGGACAGTGTGGTGCGCCCCGCTTGCTACGGGTGCACTCAACGTCACAAGGCGCTGCTCGGTTGGGGTCACCGGACGCCTCTGCTTTCCGGGGATCCGCGGGTTGAACAACAAGCCATTGCACGCGGCACTCCTATAAATAGCGCGCGGATGCCAGCTCCGCGCTGTCCCTCCCAGCTGCGCGCGGAGACACAAAGTTGTGCGCAGGGACGCGGGAACCCTGGGCAGCCCCGCCGCTCGGCACCCTACAACTGATCGGTGCCTTGGCGCTTTTGGCGCGGAGGACGAGGCGGAGGCGCTGCCTACCTGCGTCGGAGGGACACTCGGCCTTGGGGCGTTTTTGACCAAGCGCGAGTGGGAGTCTCTAGCATCCTGGCGGTTAACACAGCCCGGCGTTCTTCTCATCCCCGGAAACACCTTCCGCCTTTGTCATTCGTTCCTGCGCCAGCTAGAGTCGCTCGGACGGGATCGACAACGCACCACTGGGCACCTCGACCCTTGCGCTCCTGAGTACCCTCTGTCTCCAGTTCCGTGATCACCCGGGGGTACTTGGGTTTGGGGTGAGATTTTATTTTGTTCCTTTGAGGTGTGATTGCGAGAGACTGGCGACTTTTACATGTCTAGGGACAAAAGTGGGTGCGGGGGCCCCAGGCACGGCTGACCGTGGGGCGGCGGAGGGTCGAGTTGGGAGTTCTGAATGAGCTCCTTAAAGGACAAAGGTATCCGAGCCAGCGACACATCGCCAAGGGTGACTTCGACTTCGGCCCACAGAATTGGTGGAAGTGTGCGCGCCGCCGCCGACGTTCCAGCCGCGCTGTCGTTCTAACCACTGGCATCCTCGCGAGCTCCGGGATCCCGGGTAGCAGGCGACGCCGGCCAGCAGAAGCCCCAGCCGGCTGCGGCTTGCCCACGCGGCTCACCATGGGCTCCGCGCTCCGGGCGCTGTCCGTGGTACCGGCCGTTCTGCTAGTCCTGATGCTGCCCGGGCTGCCTGTCTGGGCGCAGAATGATACCGAACCCATCGTTCTGGAGGGCAAGTGTCTGGTGGTGTGCGACTCGAACCCCGCCACAGATTCCAAGGGATCCTCTTCTTCCCCTCTGGGGATATCGGTCCGGGCGGCAAACTCTAAGGTGGCCTTTTCAGCGGTGCGGAGCACTAACCACGAGCCGTCTGAAATGAGCAACAAAACCCGCATCATTTACTTCGATCAGGTCAGACCCCGAGGGATGCAACCCGCCCAGTGGGTGGGTGGTCTCTGGATAGTTCAGATCGGGGCTGCCTGACTAGATTAAGCTGGTATGATTAGAATACTGCAAGACAATTCAGGCACCCTCCTCCCCAAATGTACCTGAGTCCGGAACTTCAGCCGCCTCCCTTCCCAGGCAACCCCGACCCTCATTCCCTCTCAGTCTATAACAGAGGCTGCCGGCGCGGTGGGGAGGCTTGGTAGTGCAGAGGCAGGCAGCTGTAGCCCAGGACAAGTTTAAAAGCAACAGGTCAGCAGGGGCTGAAGAGATCCATGGACACAGGGATCTGTTGGTAGAGAGCTTTGCCCCTTAGCTCAGGCTTCTTAACAGGTGCTGAGATGTTTCTACAGGGTCCTTGGAGACAACCAGTTAATGTTTGACCTGTCCTTTCAGATGGAACTGCTTCTCTCCAGGGAGATCTGGGGTGCCACATGGTGCAGAGAGACCCTGTAGGTGGATACAGAGGACTGGGAGGGTGGGGAGCAGTCCAGGGTCAGATCTTGCCTCCAGGGCTCCATAGCCGGGGTCTCCCTGCATGGTCTAGAGCAGCTAACCCTGCTTGGACTAGACAGAAAGCCCTTCTCGATACTTAGAGAAAAGTTGCCTAGGAGGGAGGAAAAGGGATTGATTAATTGCACAGAGCTCCCTTAGGGCTGCGCTGGAGGAGCTGGGCCCCCTTCCCGGGCTCAGGTTCTTTGAGAGCATTGTAAATTGCTGGGGAAACATACATAGACTTTGAGCTGGCTGGGAGGGGACTGGGGCTGAATTGATCAAAGCTGCTACCGTGGTGCTCTGTGGATGGGAGTGATGCACTACTCCAGGACATCAGCTTTTAGCTTTAGCAAAGCCTCCTAGGGCAGAAGCCTGACTCCAGTGTTTTGATTCCAACCAATCCCAGCAGTACCTGGAATCTGTTTGATTCCAAAGTCACAGTTCACAGCTGTACGCAGTGCATAGCTTGTGGGAGGACTGGGTAAGTGGGGCTGCAGGATGGGCCAGGAAAGGCTCTGGGTGACATTTGTATTCGACACTTAATTTTCCCAAGTAATATACTCCCCAACTAGCCAGAGATAGAGAATGCCTCTCTGGAGGCTTACTATGGA